ATCGTCATGGTACCCGATCATCTTCCTTGCTCTTGAACCAAGACCCTCACATCCATTGAGCATCCAGGCTCATTAATCAGTGTGTAGGGTCTAAATACAAGCAGATAGCATAGGGCAGCCCTGCCTTTGAGGCCTGTCCCCAGGGATGAGAGAATTTTCTAGAAGCAAAGCTTTAAAGGTTCTGCTGGGCCGGGCGTTGGTGGCGCACGCCTTTAATCCCAGCACTCGGGAGGCAGAGCCAGGCGGATCTCTGTGAGTTCGAGGCCAGCCTGGTCTACAAAGTGAGTTCCAGGACAGCCTCCAAAGCTACAGAGAAACCCTGTCTCGAAAAACCAAAAAAAAAAAAAAAAAAAAAGGTTCTGCTGTTTCTGGGCCACATCTTGGCTATTGGACACATACTCTTGTGTTGCGCTTGAAAACACTTAAAGAAAAATAAAAAAGTTAGTCTCTTCCCCCAAATGGTGGTGAAGGCAAACAAAACAATTACTTAGAACGTTTCTCCAAAGCCGTTCCCTGTTTTCTAGAAAAATAGGGTATGACATTTTGAAGAGCTTCTTTTCATGGCTTCATCTAGGTCTGTCTGGAATTTCCTCCTTAGTTTAATGAGATGTTTCAGCTTGTTGTTTGTTTCTGAAGATCACATTCTTCTACTGGGGAGCAGCTATTCACCCCAACAGGCCAAACTGGTTTAGTTTGCTCTCTTTTCAGGGATAAAAAGAAGCTTTGTATTTTGCAAGTGAGAAAGAAATTTATTTATTTTTTTACATTCCAGTCCCAGTTTCCCCTCCCTCCTCTGCTCTTGTTCCCCTCACTCCTCCTCCTCCTCCCATCTCCACAGAGAGGGTAAGGCCTCCCATAGGAAGCTTACTAAGTCTGTCCATCATCTTGTTGAGGCAGGACCAAAGCACCTTTCCACCCCCACCTCCCTGTGTCTAGGCTGAGCAAGGTTATCTCTCCATATAGAATGGGCTCCACTAAGCCACTTTGTGCATTAGTGTTAGATCTTGGACCCACTGCCATTGGCCTCATATATTGTCCCAGTTGCACCATTGTCACATATATTAAGAGAGTCTAGTTCAATCTTATGCTGGTTCCCCATTTGTCAGACCTGAGTCAGTGATCTCTCACTAGCTCGGACCAGTTGATTCTGTGGGTTTCCCTATCATGGTCTTAACTCGTTTGTTCATATTTTCGCTCCTCCCTCACTTCGATTGTACTCCAGGAGCTCAGGGCATTGATTAGTTGTGGATTTCTGCCTCTGCTTCCATTTCTGGAAGGGGGTTCTAGCTTCTCTGGGGTTGTGGATTGCAGGCTGGGTATCTTTTGCTTTATATATGGTATCCACTTATGAGTGAGCACGTACTGTATTTGCTTTTCTGGTTTTGGGTTGCCTCACTCAGCATGATTTTTTTTCTAGTTCTGTCCACTTGCCTGTGAATTTTAGGATGACCTTGTTTCTTACTGTTAAGTAGAACTCCATTGTATAAATATACCACATTTTTTAATCCATTATTCAGTTGAGAGGCATCTAGGTTGTTTCCAAGATCTGGCTATTAACAAATAATGTTGCTATGAACATAGTTGAGCAAATGTCCTTGTGGTGTGAATGTGCCTCCTTTGGGTATATGCCCAACAATGGTATTACAGGGTCTTGAGGTAAGTTGATCCCTAATTTTCTGAGAAATCACCATATTGATTTCCACAGTAGCTATACAAGTTTGCACTCCCACCGGCAGTGGAGGAGTGTTCCCCTTTCTCCACATCCTCTCCAGCATAAACTGTCATTGATGTTTTTGGTCTTAGCCATTCTGATCTATGTAAGATAGAATCTCAGAGTGGTTTTGATTTGCATTTCCTGATGACTAAGGATGTTGAGCATTTCCTTAAGTGTCTTTCTGCCATTTAAGATTGTTCTGTTGAGGATTCTGTTTAGATCTGTATCCCACTTTTTAATTGGATTATTTGGTAGTTTGACCTTCTTGATGTTTTATGTTAAATTATAAGTGCATAAATAGTATAGAAAGGCCATAATTATTTGAAGATATATTTTTTAAATGTCAACTATATAAAGGAAGCATTTCTGATATGTCTTTTTCTCTTTATTCTTTTAGTTTTAGAGTTTAAAATTTGTATGTATTTTATTTTATGTGTATATCTGTGGGTGCATGAATGGCATGACATATATGTGGGCATCAGAGGACAACATGTAAGAGTCAGTTCTCTCATAGCCGGGTGGTGGTGGTAGTACACATCCTTAGTCCCAGCACTCGGGAGAGAGAGGCAGGTGGATCTCTGTGAGCTTGAGGCCAGCCTGGTCTACAGATTGAGTTCCGGGATATCCAGGGCTACATTCAACTGTTTTTCAAGAAACAAAGCAAAACAACAAAGAGTCAGTTTTCTCTTTCTACTATGTGGATCCAGGGATGGAACTCAGCTGGTCAGGTTTGGTAGCAGGCACCTTTACCTGCTGATCCATCTCATCAGTCCACCTTAGTTTTTCAAGTCAGGGTTTCATTGTGTAGTCCAAAGCTGGTCTAGAATTGGACAAATATAAGATGGCCTTCAACTCATGGTCTTCCTGTTGCAGGTTCTTCAGGGCTGGGATTACAGGTATGCACCCTATATCTGACTTCACCCAACAAGTTTTGTTCTGGCCTTTCTTTTTCTTTACTTTTTCCTTCCTTCCTTAATTCCTTCTTTTCTCTTTCTTTCTTTCTTTCTTTTTTTGGGGGAGTACTGGGGATGAATCCTAGGCCTTGCCTGTGCTAGGGCAGTGCTTTGGGACTATGTTCCATCCCCAGCTCATTTCTTTACATTCTGTAGGATTGATCTTATTGTATTCATGCCTGAAGTTTACCCTCAACCCATTAGGATTTTCTAAAGTTTTTCTGATTAAATATATTCAAGGCCCTCACATTCTCCATCTGTTTTAGTTAGGGTTTCTACTGCTGTGAAGAGACACCATGACCATGGCCACTCTTACAAAGGAAAATATTTAATTGGGGGTGGCTTGCAGGTTCAGAGATTTAGTCCATTATCATCATGGTGGGACATGGTGGCATGCAGGTGAACATGGTGCTGGAAAAGGAGTTGAGAGTTCTACATCTTGATCTGCAAGGCAACAAAAGCAACTGTGTGCCACACCGGGCAGTAGCTTTAACATAGGGAACCTCGAAGCCCACTCTCACAGTGACATACTTCAACAATGTCATACCGACTCCAACAAAACCACACCTCCTAATAGTGCCACTCCCTATGGGCTTCTTCAAAACCACCATACCACCCAACTGTCTTGTCTTGTTCTTTTGACTGCTGGATGCCAAGCCCTATTCCCACTGGAGCAGAGAGTGTCTGCACTGTGTGTAACCCATGTGAGAACTATACCCTTTGAAAGAGGCCTTCTGGCTCCAGAGTGGAAATCTATACACTCTCCTGGGCATTGGTCACCAGGTTGGCAAGGCCAGGAAAACGTTTGCTAGTCCGTGGCAACTTACTATTTGTTTCAAACGGTAGACAGGATGGTCGATTCGATGTGAGAAATACCAATAATGGTGGTTCTTCATTTATATAAAGGTCCTGCCTGTTTGCAACTGTCATTCAAATAGAACAAAAGGACCCTCAGCCAATTATTATTGGCAATACAATATCACTCTATCCTCCTAAGTACCTAGGAACTGGGCATCATCTTTATGTTTGACTTATAGAGAACACAAACTCAGAGAGGTTAAGGAAATCACCCAAGGGGCTGGAGAGATTGCTCAGTGGTTAAGAGCACTTGCAGAGGACCTGGGTTTGGTTCCCAGCACTCACATGGTGGCTCACAGACACCATTAACTCCAGCTCCAGGGGCCCTGTTGCTCTCTTCTAGCTTCCGTGGCCAGCAGGTGCACACATGTATACATACATGCAAACAAATAGTAAACAAATCTTTTTTGTTGTTGTTGTTTTTGAGACAGCGTTTCTATGTTTAACAACTCTACCTGCCCTGGAATTCGCTCTGTAGACCAGGCTGGCCTCAGACTCACAGAGATCCACCTGCTTCTGCCTCCCAAATGCTGGGATTAAATAAATAAATCTTTAGAAGAGAAGATTACCCAGTGCCTCACAGTTGGCGAATGGAGAACGGGGGCTTACACATCAGGGCTTACTGCTCACCTACCAGAGAAAGAACCAAATAGAGCCAAGGCATATTTCAAAGCAAAAAGTCACAGAACTTGGTGACAGATGGGGTGGCCTCTTTCGTAAGACCAATTAATTAGCTCAATTTGTTATCACTGTGATAGCTAATGCCAAATACAGAGTCATTAAGTATGGCTCCATGATAGCCCAGTTGCAAATCATTTATACCAAAGTATAATAATAGGAAGAACTTTTATGAAGCCTTCTGTCTTAAGATTTATTTTATTTTTGTTTAATCTGTATGTATGTGTATGTGGCTCTTTCTCTGTCTCTCTGTCTCTGTCTCTGTGTGTGTGTGTGTGTGAGAGAGAGAGAGAGCGAGAGTGTGGAGTGTGTGTGTGTGTGAGTGAGAGAGTGTGGAGTGTGTGTGAGTGAGTGTGTGTGTGTGAGAGAGAGAGAGAGAGAGCGAGAGTGTGGAGTGTGTGTGTGTGAGTGAGAGAGTGTGGAGTGTGTGTGTGTGAGTGAGTGTGTGTGTGAGTGTGTGTGTGAGAGTGTGTTAGTGTGAGTGAGTGTGTGTGTGTGTGTGTGTGTGTGTGTGTGTGTAGCTGCGGATCAGGATGTAGCTCTCCATTATTTCTCCAGCGTGCCTTGCCTGCCATCATGCTCCCCATCATGACTGATAATGGACTGATCCTTTGAAACTATATGCCAACCCCCAGTTAAATGCTTTCTCTTATAAGGGTTACCTTGGTAATGATGTCTCTTCACAGCAATAGAACCGTTACTAAGTCAGTTGGCAAAGTGTCTAATTGGCTCTAGGACATGTAAACAAGACAGTCTACAGGCAGGCACACTCAGACTTCACTCTATTATGTGTGAATTCCAGTCTGCCGGGACATAATTATTGATGTCCTGAACTGCACAAAGGGGTCCCTTGTCCGAAGTGGGCAGGAGGCTGCAGAAGCTTGAGGAGTTGTTTGGTGACAAGCCCATGAGCAGACTTTTCTTAGGCTTCCAGCAAAGTCTCTTCATTATGTAGATGTGACCTTTTGGTGTTTAATAAAGTAGCTTTGCTTAATACAGATGCCTGCGGAGTCAGGTTGTAGAGATCGCTGTTAACAGAAACCAGCAGAGAAGTGGTTATTGTTTCTTGCAAGTTAGGTGACCCTCTGGGATGGAGACTAGAGCAATCCAGAAAGTCATACCTTGTCCCCTGTGAGCATGACACTGCAGGGAAGGGTGCTTTTGTGTGTCTTGGGTCTAAGACTGTCTTAGGCCCGCTTCCATTTTCTGGGTTGCCGTTGGGTTAGCCACACACTGGAATCACATGCAATTTCATTTGTGTTGTAGGTCTCTTGAGGGTTCCCCACTGCTTGACACAGCCCAAGAGCTGGCTAACACCAGCAAGCTTAACTCAGTGCCACCCCGGTTGTCCTTGCTGGCAGCTTTCCTCCCAACTCCCATCCTCCAGCTCTGCATGTGACATCTAAGCTTTTCCACAACACCTTCTGCAGCTTCCTTCCTGTTTGACATGTAGTCCTCCCTTTCCCTCATTTGGCAAACTCTATCTTATCCTCCAAGGGTCTTCTTGGTGGCATTGTCTCCATGTTCCTAGGAAAGGGCTCTTCTCCACCCATAATGCCATGGATACTTCTACTACGTTCTACTGTTCACCAATTATTTGGATTCCTGTCTTCCTCTCTATACAGAGAGGCTAGGAATCTGTTTATTTGCCTCTGTCATCTTCCTGTGGCCCCACCACCTGACACAATGCCTAGGAACATTAGCAATTACTGGGTAGGCTATATAGCCTGACCTCTGTCACACCTGCCATTTCATCTCTGCAAGACTTTTATGACCAATGTCCAGGGCTGAAGCCTCTATTTTGGACCTGTTAATCTGAATCTCCTCATTTCTAGAGTAGGACTGGACCCTTGGAAACCAACCTGGGCTAGCATGGAACCTGTGGTGACCCAAAAGAGATGCACTGAGTCATAGACTCCACTTTTAAGAATTCAAGCAAAGTTGGGTGTTGGTGGCGCATGCCTTTAATCCCAGCACTTGGGAGGCAGAGACAGGCGGATCTCTGTGAGTTCGAGGCCAGCCTGGTCTACCGAGTGAGTTCCACAACAGCCTCTAAAACAATACAGAGAAACCCTGTCTCAAAAAAACACCAAGAAAAAAAAAAGAATTCAAGCAAAGACTCATGAGAAGAGTTATCAGGAAAGGCAAGGGGCAAGGGGCTGAGTAACATAAAGAGAAGGGAACAGGAGAGAAGACTCAGGATATCTCAGCGTACACAGAGCTTCGGTGTTTCTTGGAATGCCCTCGTCTTAAGGAAGCCCAGCTGGGCTCTTGCACTGCTCTTGATTTCCAAGACTAGTCCCCCTAGGTAGATGCCAGTCTACAAGAGGGCCCTTGTAAACATCGCCTCCTGGGACCCACCCTTGTTAATCCCTTTTCACACTGAATGAAGCTGGTTTGTGTCACTGTGGGGGTGGCACACCGCCTGTAATCTCAGCTCTTAGGATGTGGAGGCAGAAGATAAACTGTCTCTCAAGGCCAGCGGGGTTATATAGTGAATCTGAAGCCAGTCTGAGCTACAGGAGTCGCTGCTTCAAAACAAGCAAATGGAAACAACAAAAGGCTGACACGTGTTACCACTAGGATACTGTAGAAGTGATGGTTGTGACTTCCACGATAGATCATAGAAGACTTTGTGGCTTCCATCCCTGTCTCTTGATTCTCTGCTTCAAGAGGAAGTCAGTCACTATGTGGTGAAGGCCTCCATGCAGTTTGTGGGGAGGCTAAGAGGGAAGCTGGGGTCTGTAGGCAACACCAACACCAAGTCCCCAAGCACACATGAGTTACCTTGAAGCAGGTGCAGGAATACATGGCTGAAGCAGGTTTGTAGCACAAGCCCTTGTGTGTAATACCAATATTTCCACTTATCCAGTATGTATTTACTAAATTCCTACTATGTGTAAGGAGTTAGAAGACATAAAATGGGAGCAGAGATTGATCTTGCCTTCAGAGAACTGATTGTCTTGTGCGGGCATTCCAATATGCATAGAAACAACTGAAATACTATACAGAAAAGCCCAAGGCTCCACATCCGAAACTGGGCAAGAGGCCTTGTCTCAAAGATTGTATTAAAAGCTGTGAAGGGATAATCCTCCGAGCTAGCTTACAGTACCTGCCAGAGCCATGCTTAACAGTTTGTGACATTTGCCATGGGGTAAATATTTATGTGAGCCTCATGGTGTTCTTATAACAACCTTACATGAAAAACAGAATGGTTAGTGTTTTGGCCCTAAAAACCAGACTCCTGGATTGGGATCCCGACTTTCTCACTTGCTATACTCAAACCTAGAAGTCTCTGAGTGTCTCCAGAACTCAATTTCCTGGTATTAAAAGTAGATAATGACAGTGTCCAGTGACAACACCAAACACTTTCAGAGTTGCCATGAGGATGTCATGAGAGGTTTACGAACACTTGGAATGGGGCTGGACACCCAATGAACACTAAGTACTTCACCTCATCACAATGACTGTAGCTGTGATGGTGTCACCTGTCCATAGAATCTGGAACCACCTGAGAGATGGCCCTCTGGGCATGCCTGTGGGAGATCATTTTGATCATGTGGGAAGACTCATCTTAGTTTTGAGTGGGATCATTCCCCTGGGCAGGGGATCCTGGGCTGTATAAAATGGAGACAGGGAGACTAAAGAGATGGTTCATAGATTAAGAATGGCATCGGCGGTGGTGGTGCACACCTTTAATCCCACCACTTGGGAAGCAGAGGCAGGTGGATATCTGTGAGTTTGAGTGAGTTCTAAATCAGCCTGGTCTACAGAATGAGTTCCAGGACAACCAGAGACACACAGAGAAGGCCAATATGGAAAAACTAGAAAAAAAAGTTACTCCCCTTCCAGAGAACACAAGTTAGGTTCCTAGCACACATGCTAGGCAGCTCACCCAGTCAATGGGCATACAACACTGTCTTCGCATACACATGATACACATGAAGCTCATTCAAGCACACACATACACATGCACACATGTATACATACACAAACATACACATGTACACATATATACACACAAACATACACATCTACACACACATAATAAATAAGCAAATAAACCACTTAGAATGGAGAATGTGAGCCCAGCACTAGAGAGCATGAGCTAGTTGTCCTCTTCTGACCACTGTCATAATATGACCATCTGCCTCAAGCTCCAGGTGCCTTGAGCTCCCTGTGGTGATAGCCTGCAGCCTGGAGCTGTGAACTAAAAGGGATCCACTCTTTCTCTCAGGCTGGTTTTGTCAGTGCAACAAGAAAAGAAACTAGGACCGATGATGATCTCCATCTGACGAAGAAATGAAGGCAATGGAAGCCTGCGGTGTTCATTAAGCTATGGCTGGGTTGTTGTGGGCAGGGGAGGAAGGATGTGCTGGGGATGGAACCCAGAGCTTTGCACACAGTAGGCACTCTGTGCGTATTAGCTCTACCCCTGAGCTACACTCCAGGACCCCATGCTCATACTTCTCACTGTAGCTCTCTAGTATTTCCAAAAAAGGTGGTAGAAGAAGGCAGCCCCGCCAGTGTATTCCTGTAAAGATAAAGGAGAATCCATTCTCATCCAAAGATGATGAGAGCTCTTGAAAACAATTTGTTCTAAACCGTAGCCCACAGGATCCAGCCCATAAACTGCTTTTACTACTTTCCATTTTAGAGGGCTAGCGGCTTCTGGCTGAGAAGCCCCTGGGGTGGTGGAAATAGTCTGGCTGCTCCTGGTAGAACTCAGCAGGCAGTTTATAGCCCAGCTTGGAACCACTAGGGATAGCAGGATGACTACAACTGTGGTCTCTGCTGATTCGAACTCTATTTGGATACAATAATGTTTTAAAAATAACCTACAATACCATTACACCCTAAGGATGGGGGTTGAATGAACACAAAAATACCACTAAGACAGTTCATTAACTAATTACAGAGCACACAACCACTTCCTCCTGCAAGGCAGGGCTGTGGGGATGACTTACAGGGCTGAGCTGGGGGGCCAAGGAGTGTGCAGTGCTCTGGCTTCAGACACAAGGAGGTGACACTCTTGATTGACAGAGACTCTTTCCTCCCTTGCTGTCTATGGCATCCATGAAAAGGTGCTCCAGGGAATACTTCTACACTATGATCACATGACATAAAAAAAAAGTCTCACATCTTCTCTAGTGACCCTCTGTGTTTGTAACTTGACACAGAATCTCAGTGAGCCTAGGCAGGATGAGCAGGTGACTGACTGCTCACTCCTTTAGCTTCAATCTCCTAATTTTGCTGTTGTGCTACACTGAAGAAGTACTTACTAGGAAGAGAAGCCACCAGGGCCCAGGTGCTGGGGGAGCATCTGTTGGGGAGGCAATAAAATCTCCATACACAGGATTAGAATGGCCACCCCACCTTCCAGGCTGATCGCTCAGCCAGCGTCCTGGGATTTTATAAAGTGTTATAAAGTGACTAGAGAGATGGCTCAGCAGTTTAGAGCATCTGATGCTCTTGCAAAGGACACAGATTCAGTTCCTAACACTCATATGGTAGCTCACAGCCATCAATAACTCTAGTTCCAAAGGAACAGGCACCCTCTTTCTGCCTCCACACCAGGCTCACATGTGTTGTATACATACACACACACACCACATACCACGCATATACATACACCACACACACGTACAATGCATACGCACACACACACATACATCACACACCACATACATAGCCATACCACACATGCTACCACACACCACACACACACCCCACATACCTGGCATATACATACACCACACATATACATACCATGCACATATACAATGTGCACACACACATACATCACACACCATATACCCACCCATCACACATAACACACACACACACACACACACTGAACTACATTATTTTGTTTTGCTAATTTACACACTGCCCAGATTTTATGGTTTGAGTATGAAACTACCTCCAAAAACTCATGTCCCCTACAGTAGTTCCCCAGCCAGTGGAACTGTTTTGAGAAGTTCTGGAAACTTTAGGAGGCAGAGCTAAGCTGGAAGAGCAGGTCCCTGGGGGCATCTTGTCTCCAGCTCCTCCCTTTTCTCTCTACTTTCTGGCTACTGTGATACAAAACTGCTCTCCCTGCCACAGCTCCACCATGCTAGACTGAACCCTCTGAAATGATAATAAACAAAGAAATCTTTCCCACTTTAAGTTGTTCTCTCAGGTATTAGGTCACAGATACACAAACGTAACTAAGGCATTTAGTGTCTTGTCTTCAACATGACAGATTTCAAGGACCTGAAAAATGAAATCTCATGAGCCCTCCCAAAAATCTGTAGAGGATACAGGTTTGTTTTCCAAAATCCTATCTCTAGCTCAATTCCGGAATCAGGCATCAGTGGGTGGCAGAACAGCTGGCCCACAGAGGTCAGACAACCAGGTGCTTGGGGAAAACCTTGGGCTACAACCAACTCTGGAAGAACTCAGCTGTAGCACACGGGAATGAGTTGCGGAACAGTTCCAGAGACCAACAGGGAGGCGTTCATCAGGTGCTCAAATAGCAGACACTGTTACTGAAAATTCCTCTAGCTGGATCTGCCGGCACACACCTTGAATCCCAGCATTCTGGAGGCAGGAGCAGGTGGACCTCTTTGAGTTCCAGGTCTGCCTGGTCTACAAAGTGGGTTCTAAGCCAGGGCTTGCATAGTGAGACCCTGTTTAAAACAAACAAACAAACAAAATTAAACTTCGAGTGTAGAAATGACTCAGTAACTGAAGGGAGGAGCTGGCTCATGAATTGGGAGCCCATACTTGTTCCTTTTTCCTATGTCATACGATTTGAATGAGAGATGCTTAATGAGCTGATGCATGGGTCACCAGTGACTGCTTGTCTAGCATACGTGAGACCCTGGATTCTATCTCCAGAACAGCAAACAGCAACTCTAAAAGGATGCTTAACAGAAGAGGGCAGAAGAGACTGCTGGATCTGGGTGAGGGGGTCCAATCACGGGAACCAGAGGAGAACCAGACTTGCATTTCATCTGTTGGGTGTTGTGGGACAGTTTCATAAAATACCAAATCACTGAAATGGGATAAGTCAAGTTTACGGCTGTTGGAGATGTCAAACAACAGCCAGTGTTTAGTAGTAGGTCTTACCCAGGACCTGTTGGGTAAGGTTGCAGTGAGGGCAGTTTGGGAGGCTTCCTCTGCTGCCACCTACAATCAGGAAAGCAATCTCAAGGTACTCTTCCTGAGGGTCTCTTTCCTGCCTTGCCTTCTCTCTGCCCCGCTTCTGCTGCTGAGCTCTGCATATGCATCTAGAAACTTGATTACCTCACTGCAGGCTGTGGCAGAGGGGCAGAGGGAGGGCATGCAACCTGGGTATGCCCTAACTGCCACAACAGAAGTTAGACATCCCATGTTCTTCTCAGCTTTGGTATCCCAGAAAATGGAAAGGTTTAGTTGTTGTTGGATTTTGGTTTTTGTTTGTTTGATTGTTTTGGTTTTCTGTATAGCCTCAGTTGTCCCAGGCTGTAGACCAGGCTGGACTTGAACTCACAGAGATCTGCCTGTCTCTGCCTCCCTCTCTGCACATGTGTATTCCAGGGCACAAATGTGAAAGTTAGTTCTGGGATTAAAGTCATGTACCATCACTGCCCAGGTAGTTTATTTATAAGGTTTAAAAACAAGTCTGGAGAGCTATCTCAATGGACAGTGTCTGCTTTGGATCCCCAGAAGCCGCAGAAAAGCCAGATGCAGTGGTGCACATCTGTAATGCCAGCAGTGCTGCATTGGGTGGGAGCAGCTCATGGATCAGCTGGACTGGTAGACAGTGGTGAACATCAACAGAGCAACTCTCAAACACGGTGGAAGGCGAATGAGTATCTGAGGCTGTCTTCTAACTAACTTTTGTGCCCTGGCACACACATGTGCACATACACAGTAATGCACACACATCTGCTGTGCGATATGATTTTAAGATGTGTTCCATTTGTTTATGTTGTGGAATGTTTGTTTAATGATGCAAAGATGTGCTCACAAGAATAAAAAGCATAATGTACATACCTGTGGGCTCAATAATTCGGAGGTGGAGGCAGAAAGTAGAATAATCAGAAATTCAAGGTTACATTGCGAATTCAAGGCCAGCATTGGAGTATGTGAAACGCCATGCCAAAAAAACAAACAGCAGCAGGGTAGTGGTGGCACATGTTTTTAATCCCAGCACTCAGGAGGCAGAGGCAGGTGGATCTCTGAGTTCAAGGCCAGCTTGGTCTACAGAGTGAGTTCCAGGACAGCCAGGGCTACACAGAGAAACTCTGTCTCAAAAAAGCAAAAACAAAAACAAAAGACAAAACAAAACACACACAACCAACAAAAACAACCAAAAATGGGAAAGGCAGCACAAGCCTTCAATCTGAACACTTGAGGTCTACAGACACAGGCAGATCTCTGTGAATTTTAGGCCATCCTGGCCTACATAGCAAGTTTCAGGCTAGCTAGGGTTGCAGAAGGGGGTTGGCACAGGGAGAAGGAAGGAAATACATGTGCACACATGCACAGAGATGTTACATTTAACACAATGTCTTGAGTAAGTTTCTATATGAATGAGTGCTGATTCACCCTTCTTTTTTAATGGCTGAACAGCATTTTGCTCAGTGAGTGTACCACAATTTGTATAACCAAAGCAGGGTATTAAATGTATATAATGACACATTTGTTCAGAGATTTTACTTTTGAAAAATGCTTGCATACCAACTTTTGAATAATTCAAACACACTATTGACATCCACAAATCCTGAAAGAAATATGACTGAGAGACAAACTGGGACCTCAGATTGAGTCAGTACAGTCATCTCATGGGAATAGTTTAAAAACAGCCCAAGTTACTATACTTATTCCACATTAATTTGGAACAGAATGGGGCATTAAAGGAGGTGTAATAGTTGTTTGTTCAAGCTTTTAACTACAATGTAAGAGGACTATTGGTTTTACTATTATATTTTCCATTTGGCTTTCCAGAACCTCAAATTCAATCAGAGTCCTGCTGTTCAGAGGTATTTCTAAATGTGCCAAGTCTTAATTGAAGTGGAAGTGCCCGGAACCAAAGTTAATACCAGGAACAACAGGGAGCCCAATTTATGGAGGTGAGCTATTGATAATTCTGCATTTCAACTTGTCTCAGCTCCTGAGGCCAGCTAACATTCTGACTGTAGCTGGGATGGCTTGGTACTGAGCTGGACAGTATATGCAGCTCTGGTGGGTCTGCTAGACTTTAGGTTCTCTTGGACTGCAAGAGCAGAGTTGTGTTGCAAGGTCAGGTGTCTAAGCCATGTAGTACCTGGCATGCCTTCCACTAATGTGGAGTGTCCAGTGCTCCAGGCACTGTGCTGGGAGCTAGAGAGAACATGAGCGATAGGATGAGTCTGGGTTCCCACTTTCATGGGCTGTAGATTCTAGTTACTGGTACCCACACAGATAAGTAAATAAATAAAATGAGTAGATCTTTAAAAATATTTTATTTTAAAGTGTGTGTGTGTGTGTGTGTGTGTGTGTGTGTGTGTGTGTGTGTGTGTGTACATGTATGTCTCTACGAGGAGGCCAGAGGAGCTGGACCTGCAGGTGCTTGTTAGCCTCTCAATATGGATACTGGAAATTAAACTCGGGTTCTCCACAGGGTTGTTATACACTCTTAACTGCGGGTCTGTCTCCATAGCCCCAACAGATGGACCTTTTGATTAAACACCACAAAAAGCAATCCACAGTGATGGACCAGAGTGTAACTGGGGGAGGTCACTGCCACACTTCTGTTGCCACAAGTCTCAGAGACTTGATGTTTAGCTTAGAGTTCTGGAGGGACAAAAGCATTGATTGCTCTGATATCTTCTTGTCGCTGGTGAGAAATTTCATGGTGGGTGGTGTTATGGTGAGAGTTATGTGTAACAGGGGAAGTCAAGTGTCAAAATTGGAAGCAAGAACCTGAGGAAGGACTCAGGCCTATTCTTTTCACGATATCCCAATCTCCAGGAACTATCCCTGACCCATGTTAACCCCTTCAGAAGGTAGAGCCCCAGAACCTGAGTAAGACAGTCTGGGTGCCCCCCTTGCAGTTCCCACACTAAGGTTCATACCTCAGGGTGTGCACCCTTAGCAGACACACTCAAATCATTCCAAGGCACCGCATCTACTTTCAGTGGGAGGTAGCATGAACTATGCTTGATAGATGATAGCGCCCAACTGTGAGAAGAGCTGCAAAAGACCCTTCTAGACTAAAGGAAGAACAAAGCCCAGGCCCTAGAGTAGGATATATCTATGAACTGAAGCTATGTCTATGTGAATCGTTGCCAGGTATAGGAGAGTGTTCTTAACCAGTAGGGTTGTACAGAAAACAGGGAGGAATTCAAACTTAATTCTGAATCCTATGAGATGCACAGGGGATCTTAAACAAATGATGGGATTATGGGAATCCTATTCTTTTCAAAAAGACTATTAGCCTGTTGTGTGAAGGATGCATTGAAGGGAGTAAGAATAAAGGAGAGTTTGGCTGCAACTTTTCTCTAATGTATAATGTCCTAGTTATTATGATGTTGCTGTGAGAAGATGCCGTGACCAAGGCATCTCTTATAAAAGAGAGCATTTAATTGGGAGATGTTTGAAATTTCAGAAGCTTGGTCCATTATCATGGCAGAGAGCTATGGTACTGAAGAACTAGCTGAGAGCTCCATCCTGATCTGTAGGCAGAAAGAGAAAGACTCTGGACTTGGGCATGGGGTTTTGAAATCTCAAAGCCCACCTGCAATGACACACTTCCTCCAACAAGGCCACGCATCCTAATCCTTTTCATCCTTTCAAACGATGCCACCCCCTTGTTACTAAGCCTGCACAAATTTGAGACTAAAGGGGGCCATTCTTATTCAAACCACCATATCCACTCCCTGGCATATCATAATGCAAAATACATTTAGTCCAAGTTAGAAGTCCCCATAGTCTTTCACAGTCTCAAGACTACTTACGCCGGGCGTTGGTGGCACACGCCTTTAATCCCAGCACTCGGGAGGCAGAGCCAGGCGGATCTCTGTGAGTTCGAGACCAGCCTGGTCTACAAAGTGAGTTCCAGGATAGCCTCCAAAGCCACAGAGAAACCCTGTCTCGAAAAACCAAAAAAAAAAAAAAAAAAAGACTACTTACAAATCCAACATCTCTTCTGAGATTCATACAATCTCTTAACTTTAATCCCCTGTGAAATCAAAATCAAAAAGCCGATCACATACTTCCAGCATGCAGTGGCACATGATATACAGTACCATTCCAAAATGGAGGAAAGGGAACATAATGAGGAAATACTGGACCAAAGCGAGACCTAAAATCAGCAGGGCAAACTCCAAACTCTGCATCTCCGTGTCTGATGTCAAAGTGCTCTTCAAATCTCCAACTCCTTTCAGCTTTGGTGACTGCAACACACTTCTTTTTTTTTTTTTTTTGGTTTTTCAAGACAGTGTTTCTCTGTATTGTTTTGGAGGCTGTCCTGGAACTCGCTCTGTAGACCAGGCTGGCCTCGAACTCACAGAGATCCACCTGCCTTTGCTTCCTGAGTGCTGGAATTAAAGGCATATGACACCACTGCCCAGCGATGCTTTCTTGTATTCTTAAATCTAAAGCCAGAACCACATGGCTGAAGCTGCTAAATTCTGCTACTTGCTGGCACTGGAACATAATCCCTTTGTTCCAATATATTTGCATCAGTTTTCTTTCTTTTTTTTTTTTTTTTTTTTTGGTTTTTCGAGACAGAGTTTCTCTGTGGCTTTTGGAGGCTGTCCTGGAACTCGCTTGGTAGTCCAGGCTGGTCTCGAACTCACAGAGATCCTCCTGCCTCTGCCTCCCGAGTGCTGGGATTAAAGGCGTGCGCCACCAACGCCCGGCCTTGCATCAGTTTTCTGTTATTGGTTTCCTTCCTTACTTAAACTTTCCTTTAATTCTTTTCACAAGTTGGAAGGTTAGCTGGATGCAGTCTTACGCTGAGGTAACCACTCCCTTTATTCCATTTTGAATCAGGCTTTGCTTTAAATTACTGATCTCTTTGAGCACTGGACTTGGCTCCAACTTTACATTTCCTGGTGCTCCTTTTCTCTTCAAACTGTACCTTTTGCATTTTTCCTTGCCCAGCTTGCTCCTTTTCATAATAGATCTGCATAAGAATGACCACACAGTACTAGGTCTCCTCTGCTACCACCATTAATCCTAAAGTCTTCAATTTAGCTTCAAGCAGATTTTTTAGGCCCAAGGCAAAAAGCAGCCACATTCTTTGTCAAATTATTGAAAGAATGGTCTCCAGGCCACATGTTAATATCAGTCCCCTCTGAAACTTCTTGAGCTAGGCCCCTACAGCTTAAATTGCCCTCAGCACTTATGATGGCTAAAGTTATATTTTAAGTTTAAATTACTGTGCTTAAGAGATCTGTAAAACAAAAATGCCTCTAACCTGTTTGCCCTCACCCCTTGCCCAAGGACAGATATACTTACTGGAATGCTGGGGCTGTTGTTCATGTAGCTGGCTTACCCCAGCTACACAGGATGTGCTTGATCACATGTAGATGGGAGGTACATAGGCAGGAAGCGTGTCAGATTGTATGCTTGACCCTGATTAGATGAAGGCAGGAAGTACCTAGCCTTTCATGTTTTGCCTTTATAAGCCCCTGTCTAATATAATTCAGTGCCATTCTCTGGGGATCCTGGGTGTGGCCTAGCCAGCATCCATCATCCTAGCCAGTAATTAATAAAACTTGCTTCAAATTTGGCTAAAACATTATGGCTGTGATCTTATTCTTTCCCAGTGGGATTAGCATACTGTCTTCCATGTTCTTACTAGGATGGCCCATTAAGCCCTACTTAAAGTGTCCAACTACTTTTCTAGTCCAAAGTCCCAAAGTTTTCCATATTCCTCCAAACAACGTCACGGACAAGCCTACAACAGCAATATTCCAGGCCCTGTACCAACTTTTGTCTTAGTTACTGCTCTGTGAAGAGACACCATGGTGAAGAAACTCTTACAAAAGAAAGCATCTAACTGGGGGCTGGCTTACAGTTTCAGAGGCTCAGTCCATCACATGGCACAAAGCATGATGGCAGAAAGGCATGGTGCTGGAAAAGTAGCTGAGAGCTACATCCTGATCTGTAAGCAAAGAGACAGACGGACAGACAGACAGATAAGAGAGAGTCAGAGACAGAAAGATTGATTCTGGGCTTGGCACGGACTTTTGAAACCTCATGGTGTCTCTTCACAGCAATAGAAACTCCAAACAAGACTCTTGGTCACCAGGGAATGGCACTATCTGAGAGGGATTAGGAGTGTGACATGTTTGGAGAAGGTGAATTTAGTGGAGGAAGTGTCACTGGGGACCAGCTTTGAGATTTCAAGGGCCTAATCCAGGCCCAGTCTCTCTCTCTCTCTCTCTCTCTCTCTCTCTCTCTCTCTCTCTCTCTCTCTCTCTCTCTCTCTCTCTCTCTCTCTCTCTCTCTTCCTGCTGCCTGTGGATCTGGATATAGAACTCTCAGCTCCTTCTCTAGCACCATGTCTGCTGCACACTGCCACGCTGATAACAGACTAACCCTTTGAAACCATAGGCCAATGCCAATTACATGCTTTCCTTTAAAAGAGTTGCCATGGTCATAGTGTCTCTTCACAGCAATAGAACACTGACTAAGGCACCAGAACGATATAGTGAGGCTTTGTCTAATAAAGAAAATATTAAATAAAAAATAGACAGAGGCCTACTGTGCTTCCTTTGTGACTTCCGATTTGAAGCCGTCTCAACTCAGGTAAAACCTGTTTCATTTCAGCTTCCTCTGTGAATTCATGGGCACAAGTTGTTGGTATAGAGAAAGACATACCCAGAGGTCGCAGACATGGCTTCGGAGAACCAACACTTGCTCTCTTGTTCACTTGTTTGGTAACAAAAACTGGTACCAAACACATAGCCCTCTGCACTAATGCTTTTCTGTGAAGAGAATGGGGCTCCTGTTTCTGAGCTCCGGGAACTGCACACACAGATATCACCAGATCCAGCCACCACAGTTTTGTGCCATGGTCTCATCGATTCTGAGAAGCAGCCAAGACAGGAGCGCAGCACACTCTCCCTAGCAAGACATAGATGTCAAAGTAAGAGGCACCCTGTGTGTGTGAAGGATCCTTGGATGTGACCACATCTGCCTTTAAAAGAGTTGCTGCACCCAGGAGTTGGTGGCACACACCTTTAATCCCAGCACTTGGGAGGCAGAGGCAGGTGGATATCTGTGAGTTCCAGGCCAGCCTGGTCTACAGAGCGAGTTCCAAAACAATACAGAGAAACCCTGTCTCGAAAAACAAAAAACAACAACAACAACAGCAAAAAAAAAAAAAAAAAAAAAAAAAAAAAGAGTTGCTGTAATCCAAGTGGATTTTGTGTTTAGGGCAGATATGGGAGAAGTATTAAAGTCTGTGTTTACTTAGTGGTCTTGGCCGGAAAGGCAATGTGCTTGTGAGCAGATTCACACGCTCCTAGTCCTGGACTAAACCGTGTTGTCAGAGGAACAACAGGCTTGGTGATGAGTTTGGACAGATTTTGGGGTTGGCTTTCAGGATGCCCGGCATTTGACTTAACTGTGTCCAGAGCACTGTGACGGCTCAAGGCAGATGGAGGGCAAGCCTGTGTTTTCCACAATAGGAGAAGGGGTGACGCTGGGGCATGAAAACAGATCAGGAATGCTGTCCGAGCATCTGAAATGTAAGTAGTGAGGCCAGAGGGCTGTCAGCAAGGTGCAACTTTTCTCCCTGGCTGTACTGCAGTCAGTGTTTGTCTCTGGTGTTGAGCATTTTCACCATATCCTGTTGAGGTGTGGATTTCCTTCGACCTATCACATCTAGTAGATATGGTTGGAATTGTGTCTCCCACCAATGTCTTGTTGGAACCCTAACCGAGAGGCTCAATTAAGGCTTTTTTTTTTTTGCGACAAGCTCTTTAAAGAGGAAATTAAGGGAATGAGGTCAGCAGGGCAAGCCCTAGCTCACACCCTTGTACAAAGGGGAGGTTAGGACACAGACAAGCAGGAAGAGCAGGTGAGGACAGAAGAGTCTCATTCGCAAGCCAAGGACAGGGGCAAACAGCCCTACAGATGACTCCATCTCAAGCTTTCACAATCCGGTAGTGAAGAGAACAAACAAATCTTGGACTTGGTGCCCTGCTAGGACAGCACCAGCAAGTGAATAAAGTCGCCACTAAAATCCACGCCTTTTGAATTCTGTAATGTTCCCAGCCACTCCCCTGGGGCTACACTGCCTCTAGTTCTTTCTTGCTATTCTCACCTGGACTTCAGTCTGATGTGTTAGAAGTCTTTCACCCACAGCTGCAACATCTTTTATACCCCATTCTTCCTCTCTATTTCGCATGCTGGGTAATTTCTTCAGCTCTATCTTCCAGTTTACTCCCTTCTCAGTATCTTTGTCAGTTTTGGCTTTAATGTGTCTATTACATTTGCTCGAAGAATTCCATCTCATTCTTTAAAGTTTAATTTCATTTTCAAATCTAGACTTTCCTCTCCCTCCATCTACCCTCCTCTCTCTCTGTCTCTCTGTCTCTCTCTCTTGATCTTACTTAGGGTTTCTATTGCTGTGAAGAGACACCATGACCATGGCAACTCTTATAAAGGAAACATTTAACAGTTTCAGAGGTTAGTCCATTATCAGACATGGCAGCATGCAGGCAGACATGGTGCTGGAGAAGGAGCTGAGAGTGGAGAAGGAGTTACATCTTGAACCACAGGCAACAGGAAGTGGTATGAGACACTGGGCATGGCTTGATCATATATAAGAGCTCAAAGCCCACCCCCACAATGACATACTTCCTCCAACAAGGCCATGCCTACTCCAACAAAGCCACACCTCCTAATAGGTACCACTCCCTATCAACTTGTGGAGGGCCAATTACATCCAAACTACTACATTTATCTTTATATATATATATACTATAATAATATAATAATACATAATGCAAATATATAACATAACATAATACAAATATATAATATACAATAAAATATATTTTATATATTTGACTGTCCTGGAACTTGCTCTATAGACCTTGAACTTAGATATCTGTCTGCCTCTGAGTCTTGAGTGCTGGGATTAAAGGCATGTATCACCATGCCTGGTGATTTTTTTTTTTCGAGACAGGGTTTCTCTGTATTGTTTTGGAGCCTGGGGATATTTTTAAAATTACATTTGATCATCTGGAATAGGGCACATGCCACAGTATCCATGTGGAACTCAAAAGAAACTTTTGGGAGTTTCTTCTCGTTTTCTACCCTGTAGGTTTCTGCAACCAAACTCAAGTCATTGGGCTTGGCAGCAGGTGCCTTTCCCTGCTGGGCCATCTATCTCCCTGGCCCTAGCTCACTCTCTCTTCCTCCATTCCTTCTAAAAACGTTTATTGTTTTTATTTTCGCGCGCGTGCGTGTGTGTGTGTGTGTGTGTGTGTGTGTGTGTGTGTGTGTGTGTGTGTGTGTGTGTGTGCCATGCATGTGTGGGTACATGCGGAGGCCAGAAGATAGTGTCAGATCCCCTGGTACTAGAGTTATAGGTGGTTATGAATGAACTAACCTGCATGCTAGAGACTGAGCCTGGGTCCTCTAGAAGAGCAGTAAGCACTCTTAACCTTCAAGCCACCTCTCCAGCCCTAGCCTTTCATTTCTTGATAAAAATTAGGTCCCTTACAAGAGATGACAGATTACTGGAAGAATCCTCACTACCAATATTAGAAGCCAGAAAAGAGAAGCTGATAACTTCAAAATACTGAAAGAAACTAATGCATGAAGTGAAATTTTAAAAATGTTTTGTAACTGTTTTGAGGTCATTAACTGAGAATAAAAGAATATTTCCTCAAATCAAATACTAAGGAGGCAAGAAGTTGTAGAAAAAAGATGTAGCCACTACAGTAATTACTGGTTTGGGCCAGACTCATTCATGGATTCTAAAACAATTGAGAAAATAACATGGGAAACAGGATGTGATGGACTCAAATAATTAACTACCTTACAGATTACTTATTGATTACAAAGGGTAAAAGGTATCTGGATAAAGGAGGAATCTGGTGGACATCCATTTAAGTGACTGAACTTGCATCATCAATAATAGTGCAACCTAATAGTAGGTAGCTACGAATGTGATATACTGAGGATATAGGAAACCCTTTGCTGTGTTCCTGCCAAAAATAGCCTAAACCTAATTATGAAGGCACAAAAAGAAAAATTCAAGTCAAAGGCCTGAATTTGACAAATTGCCTATGTAAATGGATAAATACAGCCAGGCTGTAGTAGAGCACACCTTTAATCCCAGCACTCAGAAGGCAGGCGGATCTCTGTGAGTTTGAGGCCAACCTAGTCTACAGAGCACAGTGCAATTCTAATTGGTCTTAGTAATAAAAACCTGGAGTCAGATATCAGGATAAATGCTGAAAGATCAGAGAAGTAAAGGAGCCAGCCGCTAAAGTTCTTACCTTTATGAAATCCTCAGACCGAAAAGGAGCAAGCTCCTGTCTCTACCTGCCATATATTCCTCTCTCCACACAGCCATACCACTTCCTTTTTCCTCTTCCCTAGTGCTAGGATTGAAGACCTGTGCTTCCCAAATACTAGGATCAAAGGCGTGAGATCCCAAGTGGTGGGATTAAAGGTATGTGCTACCACTGCTTGGCCTCTATGGTTAATTAGTGGTTAGCTCTGAACTCTAGTCTCCAGGCAAGCTTTATTTGTTAGAGCACAAATAAAATATCTCCACATCCTCCCCTTTTTGTCTAAAATAAAAAGATTATAACCAATATAAGAAAAAATATACAAAAGTACAATAACGATATACAATATATACAGGCAATAAATACATCAACAATGTCTAGTCCATAAACATTTGACAAATTCAACAAAAATACTCTATTATCTCTCCTATTTTGGTGAGTCCAAAAGGTTGCACCTAATTCATTTTCTATTCTAACTTGCCTTAAAAAAAACAATACTTTTATGTCTCTCAGCCTTATATATTTTACAAGTCATTAGTGAATTTATTTTCTGAATCTGGTAACAAGGAAAACTATAACTATAAAGTCTTCAACTCCATCAGAGACCTGGAAAGGAAATAATATTACCTGAGTAAGCAGCAAGTGAGAGTAAGCAAATTCCAAACAATGTGAGAAATGACAGAAACATCTGGCTGCCTGGACAGTCACCCAGGGTTCTTCTGCAACATTGGGACATCCACCTTCACCCTATAGGTCTAGCATATCTGACAGACTTTTCTGTGAAGCAGGATATTCTGAAGGGCTGTCCTACCTTGTTTTGGCAATTTCAGCAGGCACTTTCTTCTGTGTCCTACTTGTTCAATTTGGACAGCATACTGGAAGCAGCCAAAGCAGTGGTTTACTTTTGCCACAAAGAAAGCAAACTCCACATCATCTTCTTTTAAGTAGATTGGTGCTGCCAGGAGCAGACCTGTCTCATTGTCATAAAGAAACCTATATTTTTTTTGTTTTGTTTGTTTGTTTTTTGAGCAGGGTTTCTCTGTGTCTTTGGAGGCTCTGGAACTACCTCTTGTAGACCATGCTGGTCTCAAACTCACAGAGATCTGCCTGCCTTTGCCTCCTGAGTGCTAGGATTAAAGATGTGTGCCACCACCGCCTGACTCTAACCTATGTTATTAAGATATCTTACATGCCATATTCAGTAGATCTCTGAAGTGTCTGAAGATCACCCTTCTAAAATATATTTTTGACCTTGAAAATATACCTAACATGACTACAAGTTCAATTGTAATAGGTGACTATTTACCTACATTTCTTTATTATCCTAAATAGTTTTTAATAATAACTTTCAAGGACTAGAAATTTGCATTACATTGTTAAATTAGCTGTATAGGCACAATAAGTTGAACAAGATTTAAAATGTATATACAGTATGGTCTAACAAAAATATCCTTAAATTTGTATCAATATAGAAAAATCTGTATCAATGCAAAATACTTAAAACTAGTAGTTGCTTTTTTGGTTTAAATGTAGGTTCAATAATCTACTTTTTAATCCAATTCCTATGTCTTCCCATTTTCTTTTCAGAGTAGATTCAATAATCTACCCTAATCCTATTAAAGAGCCCCTACCAATGGTTGAAAAAATTACTAAGCTGTCCCGTCGGACGTGAGCAGCTGCACTTCCCCTGGTGGTTCTCAAGGACTTGAAAATATTTCCCAGACCTCAGTCCTCAAGGACTTGAAAACATTCCTCAGACCTCAAGGTTCCAGGCCCGTCACAAAGTTCAGCCAGGGCACAGCCGTTGCCTAAGATAGATAACGAGCCAGTCAGCCAGACAGCCACAAGCGTGCGTGTTTGCATGAAGGTCTGGCACCGATTACCAAACTCCCCTTGTACGCCCGCCACCCCGTTTGCGGTTTCAGGCTTTAAAAACTTGCTGTAATTACTGGTCGGGGTTCACTCCTTCCCAAGGCTGCTGAACCCTCGCGAGCTGGCCTAATAAAAATCCTCTTGTGTTTTGCAACGAACTTCGGCTCCCTGGTGGTCTTTGGGGCGAGGGTCCCGAGAGAAAGACTGCAGGGTCTTTCACTATCATATCTATATTTCCCTTTATTCTTAAAAAAAAAAAGAACCCTGAATCTAATCTCCTTTGTTCAGCTTTTTTTCCTGACCATTACCAATAACAACTTGTAGCCAACCACCCTAAACAACGACAAATATCCATAACCTACTGAATGACTGAAAACCGCCCACCCCATCTCTTGGGAATGTAGGCTTCGTATTTTTAATTTACTTCTTGCTCTCTGGGGGTAATAGCACCTTTAGAGGATCCTGAAAAGAAAAAATTGGGTTAATTGTCAAGTCCTAGGAGAGGTAGCTGTATTATTCGTTGTTCAGGCTATGCGTAATGGGAAAGTGGAGGGCTTGTCTCAAGTCCTGGCCAGAGTAGTCTGTGAGCCTGGATCGTCTCAGCTAGCCACCTCGGAACTGTCTTGAGCAGTTTGTAGTCCAAAGCCAATCTTTAGGTGGTGTTTTTCAGTTTAGTGGTGTTACAGTCCTGGTAGAATCGTTATTGTGGAGCCCATCCTCCTTTTGAAGATTTCAAGGGTCACTGTTGGGAATGGTCACAGTTCACTACCAAAATCTTAAAACATTTCAAATCTTTTAAATGTCATATGCAGCAGATATCAAAGAGGTTAAAGGATAAGTATTGTTATGTACATACAGAGTATAAAAACATAACTCCTAGTTACCTGATAGAGGCTCAAACCAAAAATCATGTACAAGAAGCTAAATGATACCTTTTCTAGAATTAGTTAATACTCTATACAACCATTAATATCATGATAAAAGTTTAATATATATATATAAATCTTATAAATTTTGAGATAATATGTATGCCTTAAGAAAAGCTATTAAAGAGTCAAAATAAAACCAAAGGATTATGAGATTATTGGCAATAAAATAGTCCCTAAATTTTTGTTTTTCTTCTGTCCCATATCAGGTGGCTCCTCTGACATGAGACAGAGATTCTGAATTTTACTTTAACAGGCTTGCTTGGGTTTAGAGAAGGAGAGAGCCACACCCCAACCCCAAAGCCAGCTTTAAATTTTAATTAGAGGGGGACTACAAAATGACCATTTTCATCATATGTCTATAGAGAACTGCAGAAACAAACATTTGGAAAGATTTATGAAATTTTATCCTATTGGAGATGTGATATACCAATAGGTCAATTTAGTACTTTTCTTGAGACATTTTTTTTGGATGATTCATCCCTTTTCTTCAGATGTCTCATTTGTCCAGTGGTCTTCAGATTCCTTAGCAGGATGCTTTCATTCTCCTGGAAAGACAAAAACAAAACCCTGCCCCAACCCTAACTTTAGGGAGGTTCCTTTTTGGCAAGTTATATCTGATCAAATGAAAAGCACTTGTTAGTCATCTAAGTTAGATTGAATGGCCATGCTGTTTGATGAATCATCACCTCTTCTAATCAGGAGGTCTCTATTGTTCAAGTCTAATCTTTATCAATTTTTATGATATCCATGGAATTTCTTCTCCTATGGAAACAAAAGCAAAACTCCTTCCCCAATGTAATACATATCCTGGTTTCCATTCTGATGTCAACACATCTTTAAAGTATACTGGCTGATTTAATTCAGTAGTTTTTTTTCTATTACCCAATGTCTGTCTCTACACAGTTGTCGTTCCTTTCTCATTAGCATTTAGAAAACTCAAAGTTAATAAAGCATTATGCAATCTATTTCTGGAGGTCTTTGTCACCCTTTTCTGTTTATTTAGCATATCCTTTAGAGTGTGATTAGGTCTTTGTATAACTGCTTGCCCTCTAGGTTTTTGTGGTATTGTAATAAGCAAAAAGCTGTTTCCTTTTACTAAAGACATATACTGGAGCATTGTCAGTCTTAAGTTGTATAGCTATAACCCATGATGGCCATAACTTCTAGCAAATGTGTGATTACCGAATCAGCCTTTTCAGAACTCCAAGCAATTGCCAATTGAAATGCTGAATAGGTATCAATGGTGTGGTATATACTTTAATTTTCCAAATTCTACAAAATGGAACACATCCATCTGCCAGATTTCATTCCTTTGTGTACCCTTTGGGTTATTCCATGCTGGTAGTGGAGTTTGGTTGTATAAAGAACAAGCAGGAAATTTCCGTGGCTTGCTGCCAAATGATGGAAAATCTCTTTTCAAACCATTGCTATTATCACGATATTTTTAAAATGAAATTCTGAGGCATCCAGAAGATTTCCTATCAATACCTGATTAATTTCTTCATTTCCTTGTGCTAGAGGGCCTAGCAGACCTATATGGGGTAGGATGTAATATATATGGGATATTTCCTATTCCTGACCATTTCTTATAACTGAATAAGTAATAAAATCAATTCTGTACCATATGCTATAAATTCAGGAGTTTCAATATGCAAAACAACTGTTTCTGCATATTGTGAATCAGTAACTATGTCAAAAAGTTCCATAAAATCCATTAATAGCATAAGAATAGCCTGTAATTCTGACTTTTGGACACAATCATAAGGGCTTTGAGCCACTTTACTTAAATTTTCTGACTTCTAACCTGCTTTTCCTAATTTATTCGCATCGGTATAGAATGTGGAGGCCCCAGATATTGCTGTCCCACATACAATGTGAGGAGGGATCCAGTCAGTTCTCTTTTTAAAAACTGAATTATCGCCGGGCGTTGGTGGTGCACGCCTTTAATCCCAGCACTCGGGAGGCAGAGGCAGGCAGATCTCTGTGAGTTCGAGACCAACCTGGACTACCAAGCGAGTTCCAGGACAGCCTCCAAAGCCACAGAGAAACCCTGTCTTGAAAAACCAAAAAAAAAAAACAAAAAACAAAAAACTGAATTATCTTGATTTGGGATATTTGTTGCTAACCTCTCCCAAAAGATTACTGCAAGTTCTTTGCCAAGGTTCACTTCCTGCCCATAATTTGTCAATTTCATAATTAGTAAAATGTTCTATGATTTCTGTTGGATCTATTCTTGCTAATTGATGGAGTCTCAATTTTCCTTTTAGAATCAATTCAGAGACCTTTTCCACGTAAGTTTTTAAGTTTTTACTCTGTTTATGTGGTAAAAATATACATTCTATGATAGTATCTTCCCTCTGTATTAATATTCCTGTAGGAGAATTTGTAGAGGGCAAAATAATAAAAATTCACTGAAACTCTGGATCCAAACAACCCACATGTGCATCCTGTAATTTCTTTTCCACCAAAGCCAATTCTCTCTCAGCTTCAGCTGATAGCCTTTTTGGACTGTTTAAGTCCTTGTCATCATTTAAGGTTTTGAACAAATTACTCAGCTCATCATTTTTACCCAATAGTGGGCCATAGACTGGAGATGTTTCCTAGCAATCCGTGAAAGTCATTAAGAGTCGGAAATCTGCCTCTCCTAATTTGTACCCTTTGGGGTCTCATTTTTTGTAGACCTATTTTATATCCTAAATAATTAATAGAATCTCCACTTTGAATTTCTGCAGGAACAGTTTGTAATCTCCAACAAGGCAAATTTTTCTTTACTTCTTCAAACATTCTTTCTAAGGAATCTGTATTTGAATCAGCTAGTAAGATGTTATCTGTGTAATGGTAAACTATAGATTGAGGCAATTGCTTACATATCATTTCCAATGGCTGCTGTATGAAATATTGGTATGGGATGTATAAAATATTGATACAGGCTGAGAATTATTATAAGTACGCTCCTCAAAGGCAAAATTGTCTGTCTTTTTCTTGTAAAGGTATACTAAAGAAACAATCTTTCAAATCAATAGCTATGAGAGCCCATTTTTAGGCAATAGAGAAGGCAAAGAAATTCCAGACTGTAAAGAGCCCATTGACTGAATCAACTTATGAACAGCTCTTAGATCTGTTACCTTTTTCCATTTTTCAGATTTCTTTTTAATAACAAATACAGGAGAATTCCAAGTGCTGGTTGATTCCTCAATATGCTAAGCATTTAGCTACTCCTGTATCAGCTGTTCTAAGGCCTGCAGTTTCTTTGCTGTTAAAGACTATTGCTCAACCCATACAGGTTTGTCCATCAACCATTTTAAAAGTACGGTTGTTGGTGCCTTTGAAAGATCAGTAGCTGTTGTGCCCTGTTCTTATACAACATGGATGGTTGGTCACTGTTTTTTTGGGGTTTTTTTTTGTTTTTTTGTTTTTTTTTTGTTTTTTCGAAACAGGGTCTCTCTGTATTGTTTTGGAGGCTGTCCTGAACTCGCTCTGTAGACCAGGCTGGCCTCGAACTCACAGAGATCCACCTGCCTCTGCCTCCCGAGTGCTGGGATTAAAGGCGTGCGCCACCAACGCCCGGCTTGGTCACTGTTTTTATAATATCTTCTAATATTTTCTTCAGAAACACACATTAATTTATGGTTTGTTTCTAAGATTGGAGGAATCTTATTCTGAGTATTCAATTGCTGTAATAAATCATATCCCTATAAATTCATCGCTATGTTAGTCACATTTTCCTCTCTGTCCTTCTGGCCCTATACACTTGACCCATCTTGTATTCTATTTTACCTGAGATAAAGTTTTAATCCTTAAAAACTGAACACTTACCTCCTGAAGAGGTCAATTTGGATGCCAAGATTACGGTGCAATTATTGTTACAATGGCTCCTGTGTTTACAAGTCCTTCAATGATGTCACTTACTTGTATTTTAAATTTTGGTCTTTGCTCGTTTATAAAAGTTTGCCAAAATGTTCACTTTACAGTTTCTTATATTTTTGGTTGTGAGCCTAGCCTTTAATGGCTGAGCCATCTCTCCAGCCCCACTTTACAGTTTCTACTGAATTTTTTGTTCTCTCTTCTATAGCTGTTTTTTCATCCAGAGAAGTATGGTTTCTTACAATAGTCATTAGGTTCTTTAATTGCTCTGGGATGGAGTTTCTTCCATGATGATAGGAAATGACTGAACTGATTTTGACATGGGAG